CAGAGTGACCCTCCCTGATGGCCCTGCCTAAAGTAGGTCCCCTCCTTTTCCCTATGTTTTCTTTCTATTCCATCCCCCTTGTATTAGTCCACTGTCATGTTGCTAATAAAGATATATTCGAGGCTGGTTGCGGTGGCTCACGCCTGTATTCCCAGCACTTTGGGAGGCCGAGGCGGGAGGATCATGAGGTCAGGAGTTCGAGACCAGCCTGACCAACATGGTGAACCTCTGTCTCTACTAAAAATACGAAAATTAGCTGGGCATGGTGGCACGTGCCTGTAATGCCAGCTACTCAAGAGGCTGAGGCAGGAGAATCGCTGGAACCCGGGAGGCGGAGGTTGCAGTGAGCCGAGATTGCACCATTGCACTCCAGCCTGGGTGATAGAGCGAAACTCGGTCTCAGACAAAAATAAAAGCAAAAGATGTATTCTAGACTGAGTTAATTGATAAAGGAAAGATGTTTGACTCACAGTGTGGCATGGCTGGGGAGGTCTCAGGAAACTTACAATCATGGCGGAAGGGGAAGCAAATATGTCCTTCTTCACATGGTGGCAGGAAGGAGAAAATGAGAGCAAGCAGGGAGAATGCCAGACGTTTATAAAACCATCAGATCTCACGAGATTCACTCATTATGAGAAGGGCATGGGGGCAACCATCCCCATGATTCAGTTACCTCCACCTGGTCCCGTCCTTGACAAGTGGGGATTATTACAATTCAAGGTGAGATTTGGGTGGGGACACAGAGCCAAACCGTATCACCCCTGTTTCTTCCTTTTAGAACACTTATCACTCTCGGAAGGCATCTTACTAATTTGCACGTACACTTATTTATTTCTGGCTTCTAAATTTGAATATAAGCAGCGTATGGTCAGGGGCCATGTTTGTCTTGCTCACACACTCTTCCCAGCACCTAGCACGGTTCTTGGCACAGAGTGGGTGCTCGGGAAGTGTTTGTTGAGTGAATGAAGGAAGGAAGGAATGGCCATGGAGCTTGAGGACTCAGGCTGTGTGCAGCAGGGCTAGTAGAGTGTGGTAGATGCTGCGAGTGTCACTGTGCTGCAGGCTTGTGCCCCTCCTCTGGCCTCAGCTGCAGCTGGGCTGCACAGCTGTCATGCACACTGGCAGATTCTGACCTCAAGTGCCTGCCTAGTCTCTCAGCTTTGCAGCCTCAAGGCTGTCTTGGAAGTAGTGGTCCCTTGTTCTGTGACCCAAAGGCACAGCCCAGAGGTGTGGAAAGTTAATGACCTACCTGGGGTAATGCTTATCCCTTGGGGGAATAGGAGTTAGAGGATAAATGCCCCAGCTTTCTATCCTGTGGGTGAACAATTCTGAGATGCCTTCTGCATAATACTCAGAGGCTATTCGCAGAATCGAATCCCAATTATCCACTGCGGCAACCAGTTCCTTCCCTGTCTTGCTCTCTTGGTTCCCTCGCTTCTACTTCCTATGAGCATCTCCCAAATAAAATATGTACCCAAGCATGTACTCAAGTCTTTGTTTTAGTCCCTGCCTTTCAGGGAACCCAACCTAAGACAGGCTGCGCCAGTTTCTTGCATCTCTAAAATTCCCTTTCACTCATTCTTCTCACAATCCACCCACCCTGCTGTTGCCATTTGACTTCTAGAGAAATGCCCCTCCCACAGCCCTCTGAACTTCTCTGGCAGACAGGCTGGCAGGCCTTCACTGTCTTCCAACCCAGCCTCAGTTCTGGGAAATTTTAATGAAGGGACTTGGCTGGGCACTTGAGGGTCCAGGTGCTTTGGAGGCAGGAAGGGAGGGAAGGGGCCTCTCTAAATGAGTCTGTAATGACTAAATCATCTGCTGTCCCCTGCGCTCCTCTCTGCCTTTTGTTCTTGGGCTGAAACATGGCCCCCAATCCATTATCTTCTCTTTTATCTCTTGGCCTCCCACTCTGCAGCCACCTCAGCAGAAACACTGATACGGGCTGAAACAGAAAAATCCAAAGTGGATGCTGAATTTTACAGTCTACAAAGAAGCTTACAGGCTTAGCATTATTTAGAAAGCATTTTCTTATTTACAAATCATTTCTTTAGTATTATTATTATTGATGTTGTTTCTTTTCTTTCTTTTTTGAGGGGGAGTCTTGCTGTGTCACCCAGGCTAGAGTGCAATGGCACGATCTTGGCGCCAACCTCCGCCTCCCAGGTTCAAGCTATTCTTTCACCTCAGCCTCCCTGGGACTACAGGTGCGTGCCATCACACCTGGCTAATTTTTGTATTTTTAGTAGAGATGGGGGTGTCACCATATTGGTCAGGCTGGTCTCGAACTCCTGACCTCGTGATCCGCCTGCCTCGGCCTCCCAAAGGGCTGGGATTACAGGCGTGAGCCACCGTGCCTGGCCTGATGTTGTTTTCATACCAACATTTGTTAACCCCAGGGAGCAATTCATTCCCTTATGTCTCTTTTGCTAAACAAGGGTAGAATCTGGCTAGACAAGCCATGTAATCAAAAGACATGTATTCATTCATTCATTCATTTACCTTTGGGTAGCTTCTCTGTGTCCAAACCCTGGGGATACAAGGCAGGGCCCTTCCCATCAGGAAGCTTGTCTCCTGGTAGGGAAGTGTATGGGTCAGTGTCTAACCAGGAAACACTTGAGTATTTACAAAAGAGAAACTTTAATCCAGGGCATGGAAGGTGGCAGAAGGTCTGAGAAGACAACTGGACATGGCAAAGCAGCCCAAAGACGAGTAATAGCAAGAGGCTGCCACCACCCCAGCCCAGGAGGAGGGTCACTTGGTGGAATATGGGACCATGGTGGGGCTCCAGGAGAGCTAGAGACATGGAGGAGACACAGCCACTGCTGGAGATGCTGCCGAGATGGAGAGGAGAAATACCTGGACTTCTCCCTTCCTTCTGCCCTGTAGCCCCCAACCAGCGCCTCCCATTGGCCAAACCCAGCCCCCTGAAATACAGAGCAGAGGGGCAGAAGGGTGAGAACCAGAGATAAATGGGTAAGCAGATGATACTACATGAGAAGTCTGAGGACTGGGTAGGAGCACAGTGCTGGAGAGCATAAGGAAAGAATTGTGACTTTGCCAAGAGATGTCAGAATATTGGACAATCGGGTCATTTGGAGCTGGGCTTTGAAGGATAAGTAGGAGTTTGCTGAGCATCAAGGTAGAAGGGTGTAGTCCAAGTAGTAGAGAGAACATACACAAAGGTGTATCCATGGAGGACGTTTTGGCTGTAACAGAAAATCCCCACCGCCAGGCCTATACCTTTGCTGGTTCCTCTTCGTAGGATGCTCCACCCCCTCACTCTGGCCCAAATTCTTCTTCTTGCCCCAAATGCCACCCCTTCAGTCACCTGTTCCTAAACCTCAGAGCTGGAAGCCACAGTTCCAATGTTCCTTCACAGCCGTGGCATTTGCCGATGTGCCAGTGAGGGCCTTCCTGACTCACTTTTTCTATCAGCTGGGGGCTCCCCATCCGAGGGAGCTGTGCTTTCTGCACCTCTCTGCTCCCTGTCAGAGCCTAGCACTGGGGCAGGCACCTGGTAGGGGCTAATGAATGCATGCTGAATGCATAACTAAATACATTAGCAAGTGAATCAATAGATAAGTACATTCATGCTATTCCCTCTGCCTGGACTCACATCTGCCATAACAGTAGCCCTTTTCATTAAGTTCATGTATCAGCTTCCATGCTAAATTGCACGAGGGACCTTGTTGAATCTTCCCTAGCAATCCAGTAGGCGGCTGCCAATATTATTTTCATTTTACAGTGGAGGAAACTGAGGCTCAGAAAAGTTAAGCAACTTGCTAAGGTCATCCAACGCTTAAAAGGATAAGCAGGATGGAGGCTTGACCTTACTAGCTGTGTGAACTTGGGAAAGGCATTTCAAGACTCTGAATCTCAGAGTCTCAAGACTGAGAAGAGCTCCCTCCAAGCCCAGCCTCCTCTGGGTCTACCAGGCCTCACACAGTTAACTTGTCTGTGCTCTGCCACCATCAGAAATAACAGTAATAATAATAGCATCTTATGTGAACCAGGTGTTTATCATGTGTCAGGGACTAAGCTCAACCCCTTACACTGACATCCTCTGCATCCTCTTTACACAGAAAACACTGAGTCTCCACAGCAATCCTACAAGATGAATGTTCTTAGCTTCATTTTACAGATAAGGAAACAGAGGCTTGAGAATCAGGAGTCAATAGTAGAATCAGTCAAGAAGTCAACAAATATTGTTGAGCATCTCTGTGCTGGGCATTGCTAGATGCTGGGGACACGTGACCAGGACAGCCATGGGACCTACTCCCACGGAACTGACTATTGAGAGAAACAGACCCTGAACAACTAATTAGAAACCATTGTGTGAACACCCACAGTGGGCAAGGTGCTATGATCAAGTCCATCCTGGTTGTAATAGAAGGTGTGTGTAATAAGAGAAGCTAACCTTGTCTGGGGACCAGGGAAGGCTTCTTGGAGGAGATGACAGTTAAGCGGGGGTTCGAGGATGAGCAGGTGTTATTTAGACCCCATGTCACAAACTCTCGCCTCCACGGGGGCCTGTGATCAAGGGTCTGTTCACACTGCATGTCCAGGTTGGGCCAATACCCCAGCATCTCCTGAACACACTAACTCTGGCTGGCTGTGCTCTTGGCTGGGACGGTGCAACTGGCCCACTGCTGGGCCTTGCGATAACTCCTAGGCTACTGTTGATGAGAGATTCCTGCCAGGGCCAGAGCATCTGGAACACATTCAGCCCCTCATGAGCCAGTTCCTTCAGGAGCTGCCCGGCGGGCACGGAGCCTTGTCCTCCAAGCCCTGCTGGCTGCCTGGAGCGTTGGCAAACAGTCAGGAAGAGGCGGCTGGGAGGGGAGGACGAAGAGAATTCGATTTTCATTTTGCTCTTGGTTCCCTGTTTCCAGTCCAGATGCCTCCAGATCTAATTCCGAATAAATAATTGTACTGAGTAACCCGGGTCCCTTGGTGATTAAGTAAACACGCTGAGGCGGGTGGAAATTGAATTAGTGCGGTGTGCTCAGCCATTATTACCCACCCCTTCTCATGAATATTAATGAGGGGTTATTAAGAAATGTAAATGCTGCCTCAGGAGGTTGGGAGATGGGGAGGGGGTCAGGGTTAGAGGACAGACCGTTCAGAAGACCGTTCAGAAGGCAGCGTGATTGAAGGCATTTTAAAAACTATGTCAGATCTTTCTCTTCTGCACCGTGGCAATGTTTCCGGATGCTTCATTTCTATTAAAACGAGGGTAAGGGAACAAATTTTAATTCGAGGAAAAAATTAGCATTTTCCAGGCAGCCTTGTCGGCGGCAAGGACATATTTTGCCAGAAAATGGACATTTGGGGCGGGGCGGTGCGAGGTTGGGGGAGCCTGGGCTGATGGACGAGTTCCCTTGGTTCATCTCCAGGCAAGGGAGTAAACAAATTAATCTCTGAGCAGGGAGCAGCCTGGAAGATGATGGAAGCCTGTAGGATCCAGAAGTGTCTTTGCTGGGAAGCCAGGGGGTGTCACCAAGACCTAGGATGGCCTTACTGCTGCTCAGAGAGGCTAAGCACTTGTCTGAGGTCACACAGAGGTGGGTGCTCCGGCTGGGTTTTGTGGGCAAGGTGAACTTTGAGAACGAGGCTGCTTCTCCCAGGCGGGCTCTAGGCAGAGATGCAGCCTGTGCTTCCCCATCTCTCTCACTTGACCTTTAGGCTCCCTGGATAGCTCACCTCTCTTGCTCCAGCTTCTGCCCTCACAGCTGCTTCCTAATCTCTGCTGCCAGGTTTACTTCCCCACTTTCACTACACCTTGTTTCTGCTCCACCGCAGGCTTGAGTGACTCGCTATTGCCCCTAGGCTAAAGATCAGACTCCCTCTGACATTCAAGTCCCCCCAGGATCTGACCACATCTTTCCCTGTGTAAACTCCTGCTGTTCTTTGCGGCTGCAACCAGATGTACCAAGGAAGGATGAGAAGAAAGTGAGAACAAGGGGAATAAAAGAAGGTGAGAAGACAGGGGAAAAGGAGGAAGGAAGAAAAGGAGGGAGAAAGGTAGGGAGAAAGGAAGAGGAAACAAATGGTAAGTACCAAAATATCCCAGATTTGCTCAGTCTTTTATAGCGTAATGATGATGGTGATGTGATAATGATGATAATGACAATTGCTGCCATCCACTGAGTGCTCAGCCTGTGTTAGCCACTGGCTCAGCGCTCCTTCATCCTCCCGCACTGTCCCTAGAAAGCAGGTGTTATCTCCACTTTACAGAGGAGTAAAATGATTTGCTCCAGGTCCTACACATTATAAATGACAGAACCAGCCTGTTGGACATCAAAACCTGTTTTTTGTTTTTGTTTTTGTTTTTGTTTTTTGGGGTTGGAGTCTTGCTCTGTCACCCAGGCTGGAGTGCAGTGGTTCAATGTCAGCTCACTGCAACCTCTGCCTCCCAGGTTCAAGCGATTCTCCTGCCTCAGCCTCCCGAGTAGATGGGTCTACAGGTGTGAGCCACCATGCCCAGCTAATTTTTGTATTTTTAGTAGAGACGGGGTTTTGCCATGTTGGCCAGGTTGGCCTCGAACTTCCGACCTCAGGTGATCTGCCTGCCTTGGTCTCCCAAAGTGCTGGGACTACAGACATGAGCCGCTGCTCTGGGCCCAAAACCTGAATTATTCACTACTGCACCTCCCACCTCATGTGGGCAGTTATTATTATCCCTATTTTACAGATGAAGACAAAGAGGCTGGAAGAAATAAATAAGCACAAGCAAGAGGAATCAAAATTCTCTAAACCAGCCTTATTCCATCTTTATAAGCACCTCTTCCAGATAATGCAGGGAAAATTCACTGAACAACCTCATTCCTGCTTCCTGCAGTGGATGGTGTCAGACAGCCCAAGAGAAACTTACAGGATCTCGGAGACCCAGCCCCAAGTAGTGTCCACCAGATGAAGCCTGCACGTTGCTGCTGCTGGTTCCCATAGGCCTTCTCGCCCCAGGCCATGAGCCCCAGGCCTGCCAAATGAAGCTCAGATATGGGACCCAGGGACTTAGCCCCCTATGCTCTGGACAGGAAAGAGTGAATATGATCAAATTCATGCATTTTAATGACTTCTTCAGCACGCCTCGCTCCACCCGCTCTAGCTCGCAGGAATAAAGGCTGACAGGTGCAGCTGAGTTAATCACGGTGGATAATAGAGGGAAAGACAGGAATCACTGGCCAAATTGCAGCAGAGAAAAATGGGGGCAAAATAGGCCGGGTGCAGTGGCTTACACCTGTAATCCCAGCACTTTGGGAGGCCGAGGTGGGTGGATCATGAGGTCAAGAGATCAAGACCAGCTTGGCCAATATGGTGAAACCCCATCTCTACTAAAAATACAAAAATTAACTGGGTGTGGTGGCAGGCACCTGTAGTCCCAGCTACTCCAGAGGCTGAGGCAAGAGAATCGCTTGAACCCGGGAGGCAGAGGTTGCAGTGAGCCGAGATCACGCCACTGCACTCCAGTCTGGTGACACAGCGAGACTCTGCCTCAAAAAAAAAAAAAAAAAAAAAAAGGTTGGGGGACAAAATTATGAGATGCAAGTCAAAAGTGTCCAATTAAAGTGTGGTGGTGTTTAAAGATGGTGCACGCCTGTAATCCCACCTACTTGAGAGGCTAGGGCAGGATAATTGCTTGAACCCAGGAGGCAGAGGTTGCAGTAAGCTGAGATCACACCACTGCACTTCAGCCTGGGTGACAGAGCGAGACTCCGCGTAAAAAAAAAAAAATATATATATATATAGAGAGAGAGAGAGAGAAAGAGAGAGAGAGAGAAAGAGAATCTAACACGTGTGGTTTGATGTATATTATTGCCTAGAATTAGTCTAAATTTTACCCAAAGATGGGATTTAGTTGCTAGTTAATTAAAATAAAAATATATTTTTAATTGTATAGATGAAAGAAGAATATGGCAAAAAAATACGAAATTGGCTCTTATGTGACTGAAGCTTAGGAAACTATATTCTGGTTCCTTGTTACTCAAAGTGGGGTCCATAGACCAGCAGCATTAACATTACCCAAGAGCTTGTGAGAGATGCAGAGTCTAGATCTATGGAATGAGCATCTGCATGTAAGAGTCCCTGGTGATTCATACACATGTTCACATGTGCATTGTTTTAAAAGCACTGATCTCTCTTATTTATCAGCAGGACATTGAAGACCCTTTCAGACTTGATCCCAGGGAAAGAGCCCTGGACTGGGAATACATGCTAGCTATAAAACTCTATAAATTGAGAACAGCTTGTGAGAACAGAAAGAAAAAAGAGACTGTAATTTTGAAGAGTTTACAATCTCGTAATTACAGAAGAGGAGACTGAAGTCCAGAGAATACAAATTCAAAACTGCACCATGCGATTGTGTTACGGGTTCAGGTTCACTCCAGGTCTTCTAACATATCGGCCAGTGCAGGAGGGAACTGCAGATAACAAATAAAATTGCCGTCAACAGCATGATGTGTTCACAGCCAAAGAAATGAAATGAAATAAAATTTCCAAAAATAAAGAAAATTAATTGTAAAAAAAAAGAGTATGATGTAGCTTTATGAAAATGATGATTAAAGACATTGCAAGGAAAGAAAACTACAGACTAATTTCTTTATTGAAATAAAGATGGAATATATATGGAAAACTCCTCAACAAAGTACTAGAAACACAAATCAAGCAACATACAAAAAGGATAAGACACTATAACAAAGTGAGATTTATTCCAGGAATGCAAAGTTGGCTTAAGGTATGAAAATCAATTAATGTAATACATCATATCAATAGGATAAAGGATGAAAAACCATGATCATCCCAATAAATGCAGGAAAAGCATTTGACAAAATTTAATACCGTTCATGATAAAAAAAAATTCAATAAACTAGGAACAGAAGGGAACTTCAGGCCGAGTGCGGTGGCTCACGCCTGTTATCCCAGCACTTTGGGAGGCCAAGGTGGGCATATCACTTGAGGTCTGGAGTTTAATAACAGCCTGGCCAACATGGTGAAATACTTTCTCTACTAAAAAAAAAAAAAAAAAAAAAAAAAAAAATCAGCCAGGTGTGGTGGTGCGCACCTGTAATCCCAGCTATTCAGGAGGCTGAGGCAGGAAAACCATTTGAATCCATTGGGCAGAGGTGCAGTGAGACGAGATCATGTCACTGCACTCCAACCTGGGTAACAGAGCCAGACTCTGTCTCAAATTTAAAAAAGAAGGGCACTTACTCTATCTGATAAAGGCTATCTCAAAAAAAACAACCCACACCTGACATATCTAATGTGACTAAAGGCATTTTTCTCCTAAGATCAGGAACAAGACAAGTATGTTTCTCTCATTACTTCTATTTAAGACTGTATGGGAGGTCCTAACCATAGCAATCAAGAAAAAGAAATAAAGGCATCTGGACTGGAAAGGAAGAAGTAAAACTCTCTCTATTTGCAGATGACATGATCTTGTATATAGAAAATCCTAAGAAATCTAAAAACAAACAAAAACAAAAGCCTATTAGAACTAATACGTGGACCAAGGGATGGTGGCTCACACCTGTAATCCCAGCACTTTGGGAGGCCAAGGCAGGAGGATCACTCAAGGCCAGGAGTTTGAGATCAGCATCATAGCAAGACCTCATCCCTACAAAAAATAGAAAATAGAACTAATAAATAAATTCAGCAAGGTTGCAGGATACAAAATCAATATAAAAAATCAATTGTATTTCTGTACTCTAGCTATGAACAGTACAAAATGAAATTTTTTAAAAACCCATTTATGATAGCATCAGAAAGAATAAAATCCTTAGGAATAACTTTAACGAAAGAACTACAAAACTTGTAGTCTTGCTTAACAAAAAGAACAACAAAACTTTTTAAAAATCCATTTATGATAGCATCAGAAAGAATAAAATTCTTAGGAATAACTTTAACGAAAGAACTACAAAACTTGTAGAACTACAAAACTTATATTTCAGCAATATAAAATATTGTCAAAAAAATTAAATAAGACCTGTATAAATGGAAACATCCCATGTTCATGGATCAAAAGACTTAATATTGTTAAGATGGTAATATTCTCTAAATGAATCTACAGATTCAATAAAATTTCTATCAAAATTCCAGCTGGATTTTTTTTCCAGAAAATGACAAGTTGATCCTAAAATTCATATGGAATTGCAAATTGTCCCAAATCACCAAAAGAATTTTGAAAAAGAAGAACAAAATTGGAGAAGTCACACCTGATTTCAAACAAACAAAAAAAAAGATCAACAGAACAGAATCAATAGTCCAAAAATAAACTCTTACTTTTATGATCAATTGATTTTCAACAAAAGCGCCAGTGAAGAAATAATCACCTTTTTCACAAAGGCTGCTGGAACAACTGGATATACACATCCAAAGAATGAAATTGGACCCCTAACTCATACCGTATGCAAAATTAACTCAAAATGAACCATATGGTTTGGCTGTGTCCCCACCCAAATCTCATCTTGAATTCCCATGTGTTGTGGGAGTGACCTGATAGGAGATAATTGAATCATGGGGCAAGTCTTTCCCGTGCTGTTCTCGTGATAGTGAATAACTCTCATGAGATCTGATGGTTTTATAAAGAGGAGTTCCACTGCATAAGTTCTCTCTCTTTGCCTGCTGCCATCCATGTAAGATGTCACTTGCTCCTCCTTGCCTTCCACCATGATTGTGCGGCCTCCCCAGCCATGTGAAACCATTAAACTTCTTTCTTTAGGAAATTGCCCAGTTTCAGGTATGTCTTTATCAGCAGCATGAAAATGGACTAACACAATGGATCATAGCCATAAGTGTAAAAGCTAAAACTATAAAAACTCTTAGAAAAAAAATCACAGGAGTGAATCTTTATCACCTTGGGTTAAGCAGTGGTCCCATAGATACCTAAAAGCACAAATGACAAAAGAAAAAATGGATACATTCAACTTCATCAAAACTAGAAAACATTTGTGACACAAATTACATTATCAAGAAACTGAAAAAGTCCAGGCATGGTGGCTTATGCCTGTAATCCCAGTACTTTGGGAGGCCGAGGCAAGCGGATCACCTAAGTTCAGGAGTTCAAGACCAGCCTGGCCAACATAGTGAAACCCTGTCTCTACTAAAAAATACAAAAATTAACCGGGCATGGTGGCAGGCACCTGTAATCCCAGCTACTCGAGAGGCTGAGGCAGGGAGAATTGCTTGAACCTGGGAGGTTGAGCTGAGATGCACCACTGCATTCCAGCCTGGGCGACAGAGCACAACTCCGCCCCCCCCTCAAAAAAAAAGAAAGAAAAGAAAAGAAAGTGAAAAAGTGAAAAGACAACCCACAGAATGGGGGAAAATATTGGCAATTCATACATCTGATAAGGAACTTGTATCTTTCAGAAGCGTGTGAACCAGAGCAACTCCATCTTAAACAGGAGCTGGGTAAAATGAGGCTGAAACCTACTGGGCTGCATTCCCAGATGGTTAAGGCATTCTAAGTCACAGGATGAGATAGGAAGTCAGCACAAAATACAGATCATAAAGACCTTGCTGTTGAAACAGGTTTCAGTAAGGGAGCTGGCCAAAACCCTCCAAAACCAAAATGTCCGTGAGAGTGACCTCTGGTCATCCTCGCTGCTACACCCCCACCAGCACCCTGACAGTTTATGAATGCCATGGCAACATCAGGAAGTTACTTTATATGGTCTGAAAAGGGAGGGATGAATAACCCACCCCTTGTTTAGCATATCCGCAAGAAATAACTATAAAAACGGGCAAGCAGCAGCCCTCGAGTCTGCTCTATGGAGTAGCCATTCTTTTATTCCTTTACTTTCTTAATAAACTTGCTTTCACTTTGCACTGTGGACTCAACCTCGATTCTTTCTTGTGTGAAATCCAAGGACCCTCTCTTGGGATCTGGATCGGGACCCCTTTCCTGTAACATATCCAGAATACATGAAGAATTCTTACAACTCAATAATAAAATAACCAACTCAGTTTTTTAAATGGGTAAGGAATCTGAATAGGCAGTTCTCCAAAGAAAATATACAAATGACTAAGCACATGAAAAGACGCTCAACTTCCTTAATCATGAGGGAAATGCAAATCGACACCACGAGATACTACTTCACACCCGCTAGGATGGTTATAAGTAAAAAAATAAAAAATAAATAAATAAAAACAGATAGCAAGTGTTGACATGGTTTGAAGAAATTGGATCCCTCATACGCTGCTGGTGGAAATGTAAAATTGTGCATCCGCTTTAAAAATAGTGTAGTGGTTCCTCAAAATATTAAACATAACATTACCATATGACCCAGCAATTCCAGTCCTAGGTGTACACCTAAGAGAAATGAAAACAGGAAGGGTGTGGTGGCTCACACCTGTAATCCAAGCACTTTGGGAAGCTGAGGCAGGTGGATCACCTGAGGTCAGGAGTTCGAGACCAGCCTGGCCAACACGGTGAAACCCCATCTCTACTAAAAATGCAAAAATTAGCCAGGTATGGTGGCAGGAGCCTGTAATTCCAGCTACTCGGGAGGCTGAGGCAGGAGAATCACTTGAATCTGGGAGGCAGAGGGTGCAGTGAACCGAGATTGTGCCACTGCCCTCCAGCCTAGGCAACAAGAGCGAAACTTCATCTCAAAAAAAAAAGAAAGGAAAGAAAGAAAAAGAAATGAAAACATACACTCACACAAAAATTTGTACACAAATGTTTATAGGAGTATTATTCACAGTAGTCAAAAAGTGGGAACAACCCATATGTCTATCAATGACGAATGGGTAAATAAAATGTGGTATGTGCATACAGTGGAATATTATTGGCAATAAAAAGGGATACGGTGCTGATACATGATACAACATTATGCTAGGTGAAAGAAGCCAGTCACAAAGAACTGCATATTGTGTGATTCCATTCATATGAAATGCCTGGGATAGGCAAGTCTATGAGGTAGAAAGTAGATTAGCAGCTGCCTAAGGCTGGGGGAGGTGGGAGGAAATGGGAGAACTGCTCATCGCTGCACGTCTCTTTTCCAGGTGATGAAAATGTTCTAAACCTGATTATGGTGGTTGCCGTCAACCCTGTGAATATACTAAAAATCATTGAATTGTACATTTTACATGAACGAATTGTGTGATGTGGTAGACAGAATAATGGCCCCTTAAAGATGTCTATGTCCTAAACTTCCGAGCCTGTGAATATGTTAGGATACATGGCAAAGAATAATTAAGTTTGCAGATGAAATTAATTCAGTTGCTAATTAGCTGACTTTAAGACAGGAAGGTTAGCCTGGATTACCCAGCTAAGCTCAAGGTAATCACAAACGACCTTAAAAGTAGAAGATGGAATATGAAGAGAGAACCAGAGAGGCAGCATCTTGAGAAAAACTCAGCCCAGTGTTGCTGGCCTTGAAGATGGAGGAAGGGAGCGATGAGCCAAGGAGGGCAGGTGGCCTCTAGAAGCTGGAAAGGGCAAAGGAAACCCATTCTCCCCTAGTGCCTTCAGAAAGAAACTCAGCCCTGCCAATGCCTTGATCTTTGTCCAGTGAGATTTGTGTCACACTTCTGATCCATGGAACAGATAGTAAATTTGTGTTACTTTAAGCCGCTAA